GAACGATCAGAATAAGGTAAAGCTTCGAGATAAGTTCTGTATTAATTTCTCGGTCCCCCTAGTTGAGTGGGAACTTCTCATGAACTTGCCATTCTTTCAACCAGATCCAACCCCCTAAAAACTGTACATGCAAGGATCTTCTCACCTGGCTGTGTTGCCATACTCCATATTTCTTGAACAGACGAGATTGGCGGCTCCTGTGGTGCATGGATTACAATTATGATGGAGCCGGCAATACACATCACACAACCCAATATCCCTAGCTTGTGTAGCTTCTCATTTAAGATAAGCTGAGCTAGCATGGCACTTTGTTGTAGTATCATTTTAAACATCAAAAGCAAAAGGCAAACCAATTCATGACATATTCAAAAGAAAATCTTTGCAATTACTAGCAAACTCAAATGTAATAACATGATAAAATACCTGACAATGATACTTAATGCACCAAGAGGTGTGACCAAAACTGCAGGGGCAAATGCATACGCCACGAAATTTGCAACTTCTCCAACAATCACTACATCAGAAACCACAAGACAAGAAACATCCTGCAGGCGGTCAGCAAACATAGAACAGCCATGACCCGATAACAGATCACATTTTGTTCTCTCTTATTACAAATTCAATTGCATTTTCTAAGCCAACCAATAATCCCTTATTGAATTCTTCAACTTCGCAAAAAAGAATCTTACAAATCTTTCTCATGAGCTTTCGGAATGGAGACTAGAAAATTGAAAGAAAAGACTAAAACAATTCCTAAATTTGACCAGTAATTTCATCATTAACTTCATTACTACGATTGCACCTAGTATCGAGTACCACCAATTCAAAAGCATACGGTAACAACAAGAACAACAAACTAAGACTTTGTTCCCAATTTCCATTAACAATTCCAAATTTACGCCATTACTTTTACTTCCAAACTATAATCAGCATTCCCTACCCCATAAACAATAATGAGAGACCTCAAACAAAACTGGCAATTGGCATGACTATTTATGAAAATAGATTCTTGAACAAAGTCACAAGGGAGAAGGAAACGGAAAAACAATAAGGGAAAAAAAAAAACTCACTTGTGATCATGCCAAGCCACCAAAGAGGTTCCAAGAGATATGAATATCCCCCAACACCTGAAAAGAATCAAGAAAAAATGTACACATCATGAACAAAAACATGAACCCTCATGAAGAAATATCAAAACTTTGAATTATAACGGATAAAAATGGCTTAAAATTCACAAACCAGCTCTAACACCAGAAGCGGCGGCAGCTCTTCTGAGGCCCTTTTTTTTAATGATGAAGCTTGCACCTATGAACCCACTTGAAAGAAGAGCCAACACCAAGCCTTTCAGATTGTCTTGGGAAAAACCCATGTTTCAGATTTTGCTAAAATCTCTCTTTTTTTCCGTTTTCTTCTACTCTTCATGGGAATCTTCTGATCATCAGCTTTTTTACCTGGTCATTCCCATTTCATGCTCAATCAATGAGGTTTTTAATTGTTTATTGACAATAAGTTGGGAAACGAAATCAATGGGAGCCACTTTTGTATTATTGGCAATGCATAATCATTTCCATCGATTTGCCAGCCTCTTCTTGATCTAACAGTTTACTAATTGATACAGCCATATATTCCAGGTTTAAATTAATTTATGGCCGTCCAGCTTTATATTGAGTGGCATAGTCTTCGTCTAATTTTATTTTATTTTATCAGATCACCCAATTTCATATAATGTTTCTCCGTGTCCATTCAACTTCTTTTTTCGCTAATGGCTTAAATTCACCAATGACCACCCAACTTTATGCTTAATGTCATCATGATCATCCAATTTTATTTTATTTTACTATAGTCTTTATACTTAGTATCACTATGGCCACCAAACTATATAAAATAAATGTTAAAAAATAAAATAAAAACTTATTTAAAAAAGCGTTTTTAAAGTTGGGCTATTGGTGAATTTTACCATATATTCCATTATGCTAATTAAAGAAAAATAGTAATTAATAGAAACTTGGTCATCATATATTTCTTTCCTCAATAATTAAGGGTATTGCTTGATTTAATTTATTTTTTGTAGAGGAGTTTTGTGATAATTGATTTTCTTTTTTAAGGATGTAATTGAAAAGTAGAAAAAATTATGAATTCATGTGTAAAATTATTTTATTGAAAAAAACGAATGATTAAAAATAAATTTTAAAGAATCAATAAAAAGATTATCCCGTAAACGGTCGTTATAGATCATTGAAATTAAGTCCCGTTTGGTATGGATTAAAATTAATTTTTTAATAAATTTTAATAAAAATTAATGAAATATATGGTTGAAAAGTTGTGAGTTTCATAAAATGTGTGTTTAAAAGTAGTTGATGAAATTGATTTAGGTTAAAATCTGAATTTTAAAGAACGCTAAATAACCCACTAAATTGTAGAGGACAAAACCTTAATTTAGTTGTTAAATGATTTAAGCTTAAAGGGACCATTTTCTTTTGGCATATTTTGGTCCTCAAATGTTTACTAATCAGTGACCCCATATTCATAGCAATTTTAATTTTTTAATGTTTTTTTTTGGTACATAAAAATAATGGTTGCGCTACATGTACTTCATAACTTACAAATTTATTTACCAATAAATAATATGACGAAATTTGATTAGATCGATATCTCATCAACTATATGAAAGAAAAAATTCTCGTAATTTCTTTTTAACACGTCATCAATTGTAAAAGATTATGTAAATGGTGATGTAGAAACAAACATTTAGGGAGATCTTACTTAGACAGTGATGATAAAAAATGAAATTATCTACATTTCTTCGTCTCACCCCTAAATAAAAATTACATTTTCAAAGTAAGTAAGTTGACAAATTTATTACACCTAAACCATTAAAAGAGATGCTAAGACTCACTGAAAATATGCATGTTTAGATTTCATTTTGTTTATTATGCTCTCCCAATAATGGATTAGGGCTTAACCATGACATTTAGCATACATTTTTATCTTAAATTTTATTTAAACTGTGTTTAGGTATTCAATACCTAGCTTAACATGTGGAGTAAGACCAACATTTTGGTTTTTTTCCCACCGTTCATTTCATTTGACCCAGTTTTCCCATTTCATCTCATGGTCTATTTTATTATTTATATGATCCTGTGACAAACCACTCTTCTGGACAACATAAATGGATATTTATAAAAGAATCAGAAAACACTTCTTATTGAGCAAGTGTTTATGTTCTATGATGTTCGAATTCGGGTACGGATACGTATTTAAGTGTCGAATCTTTTATTTTCTAAAATGTAGGATGCGGAACATAGTTAAAAAATGTCCAAATTTTGAATACGGGGTACATGGATATGTCTTTCAAAATTAAATTTTTTTTACTAATCCAAAATGTCATTTTGAATAACGAAAATCAATTATTCATAAAAAATGAAATGAGTACTGAATAAGATGTTAAGATGAATAAAATAGAATTTTGAGGTTTAGTTTTCAATTATGAGAATTATTAAATGTTAAATAAGATAGAAAATAAGGGGCTCGATTGCGATTTGGACTTAGAAGAGTACTAAGTAGCATTATATAGAACCCATTTTCATTTTATACAAACAAAACCCTAAACCACAGATACAGAGAGAGAGAGAGAGAATGAAAAATAAAAAGAAAATGAAAAGAAAAAAGAAAGCAAGAATAAGAAAAAGAGGGGAAAACCTTTTCGACTGCAATGTTAGATTTATAGAGAGCAAAAATGGGATAGAAGAAGGAAAAGAAAATAAAAGGTAAAAGAAAGACAGAAAAAACGAAAGAAGAAGAAGTAAAAACGACAAAATGTCCTATTGAAATTTGGAGGATCCGACACATATCACATACCTATACCCATGTCGTGTCGTGGCCGACACGGGTATTCCGACTATTTCGAAGAGTCCAAGCATCAGAGCTCATGTTAGATATTTCCTTTGCAATTTAGATAATCTGCAGAACAAGTTTCCGAGTGAACCTGTGATTCATATACAAGAAATTACTGATTTCAAATATCCATTTTTGTTTTGCATAATATTGACATGGTGCTCCACTTCTTCTTGAGGTAAACTTATGTCAACAAACGGAGTTCAGAATTTCTGTCGTATATCCTAATTTTATTTGAACGATTATAAAGCTCAAAAAGTACAATTGCTTAATTTCAAGTTAGCATATTTGAGAAACCAATATTCTATTGTTGTCTGATAAGTCTTAAATTTACGCTTACTTAAATCATCAAAGTGGTTTTTGTTAATATTATTTTGAATTGATACTTAATTGCTTGGATTTTCTTGGATTCTTTTAGGAGAAAACCCGAAATTGGATCAACAAGGACGACATTGAATAAAAGTTACGGTTTTGGAATCAAATCCCACACATTATAAGTTGAAGGACTAAAATGCATTACTGGAAAGAAGTGAAGCCTTGAAGAGAAATATTAATTAAATTTAGCCTTGGAATTGAAATTGAAATAGGAATCAAATTCAAAATGGAATTACAAGTGGGCTGGGAATCTAATTGGGCGTAAAACCAATGCGGACGGAAAATTGGAGAATAATAATAGACATAATAATAATAATAATTCTAGAATTTTTTGGGCAAGATTTAATTGATAATTGTTCAAGAATTTTACGAATTAATCACATTCCGTCAAATTTACCAAGGATTTACATTATGCATGGAAGAAGACGAAGAATAATTTTTGGGATTTGTGTGGCGAAGATCAATGATAGTTCCGAGGATTTTTATCTTATTTATTGAGACTAAGCCCGATGATGTCGTTTAAATTTAGGAAAAAATTCACTTTCCCTAC